TCTCTCTCTCTCTTCTCATCTCTCTCTCTCTCTCTCTCTCTCTCTTCTCTTTCTCTCTTTCTCTTTCTCTTTCTCTTTCTCTTTCTCTCTTTCTCTTCTCTTTCTCTTTTCTCTCTTCGTCTCTCTCTCTCTTTCCTTCTCTCTCCTCTTCTCTCTTCTCTCTCTCTCTCGTCTCTCTCTCTCTCTCTCTCTCTCTCTCTCTCTCTCTCTCTCTCTCTCTCTCTCTCTCTCTCTCTTCTCTCTCTCTCTCTCTCTCTCTCTCTCTCTCTCTCTTAAGAAAGGAAGATTTTATCTAAACATAGATAACAATATGTAGGAAACATTTTTTTCCGTTCTTTGTACATTTTATAATTTAGAATTTTCTCGTCAGAAAAGTATGTGTTGCTCATTATACCAAATCTTGCAGCTTGTTCTTTGATGAGGGAAGAGAGAGTCTACTGTACAGCCTGCTTGCTGTACTGCGTCCGGGTGGAACAGCGCTTGTTGTCGCTCCAGCACGCAGTGGAACTTTCCAGTTGTTTGCCTCCATGTGTAGGCCACACTTCAGAGTTGTTGTGGTCGAGAAATATGATGGCATCGTGGATGATCATGTCCGAAAGGTATTATTGGGATTCTCTAGAGGCACTTTCTGTGGTGATATTTTTTGTATTCTTTTATTTTACTTTTTTTTCTTCTTTTTCATCATGAGAGAGAGAAAGATTTTAATGTATTTATTTACTATATGTATTTTTTCCTTGCAGTGTGCACAAGACCCACACTACAACGATAACCTCCACTTTCCCCTGCTGATGATACTGAAGAAACTGGGAAACAGTTGAGCTGTTGTGTGCAGCTATTTGTAAGATGTCCCTTGGCATACTCTTGTATAAGACATCTGCTTAGTTGCAAACAGATTGACACTTGTTTTTTTTTTGTGTGGTTGGGAGTGTGTGCGTGTGTGTGTGTTAGCTTGTGTGCTTGCATATGTGTGTTTGTGTCATGGAGTATAGCTGGTCTTTGGTCTTAACAGACAATCAGTGTATGTAATGTCTAAAGTATTCCATACTTTGTTTTCCTACTACAGTATTACAGATCTTTATATAAGTGATAGTATGGCTGCCTTGCATGCATAACCACAAGAATTCTATCCCATTCATAGAATTATGTGCAAATGGAAAATGTGGACTGATTTGATCTGACTTTACTTTGATATTCAAGTAAAAATTGCCCATGGCAGGTTATGAATCTAGAGTGGGATAGAGTACAGATATATTGTTATATCAGTTTCTGGAGATGGTAAGAGAAGGCCATGGAGACAAACTTATAAACTCCATATCATGATTAATAGCGAGATTGCATCAGGCAGTTGTTGTGACAACTGTTATGTTGGTGACCTATGTTTATTAGATCAGGTACAAATGCCTGTCACCACACTTTAGCATGTGCAAGTGTGTCTTATTTAACTGTGGCCTATTGCTATGAAATGTGCTTTACGTATTATTAAGAAGTCTTTTGAAACATAAGGTCATCAAAACTAGATGAACAGTATTAGCTACATGGTCTGAAACTCACTGCCAAGGTGAGGTGTCCCATAAAAGACATGATTAAGGCTGTGAACTCCAATCATGTTTCTTAACTAGTCAGGATTTTACACTTAGCTTGTATTCCATTGTTTTGTGAAAGATGATGCAACTTTTTAAAGGGGTGATATGACATGAATTGTTTACATTGTTCTAATTGGCCATTTTAGGTAGAGAAGTTGTGTGCACTTGTATAACAGCCTTTTTGTTTTATTATTATTTTCCCGCTTTCAGAGAGTCCAATATTAGTATGACAATAATGTGTTGACAATACTGTGTAACAAGAAAAGAAATGTAGTCTCATTTTCTTGCTTGCATATCAAAGCTGTACATTACAGGCATTAAGGCTCTGTTGTTATTTCTGTCTCTAGTGATCTAGTCAATGTCTATTCTCGGGCAACTCTAGACAAGGGTCATTTTGCCCATTGCTTCTTCACTGGCACTCATCCAAATGCATTATTTTCATTTGATGTTCTGTTTGATCTACAGGTAAGCTGCCTTTTCAGGAGACAGCCAAGATTTGCGGAAGCAATCATTAAGATATTTATGCAGATTAAGTAGTTAGTCTCAATACTCAGTTTTATCATGTCCAGTAGGAACATTTCCGTAACATAAATACAAGCTTCTTACCAACAGAAGCAATTTATAAATGGCCACACCTTCAACCTGAGATGGTTTAGGTGTGAGTGGAAATAGATGTTAGATGATTGGTTATTACCTGCTCATAAGTATGATGTACATGAAAAGAATAGGTAATTAATGTGCTCAATGGATCTTATAGTTCTCCACAAAAAATGGCTGCAGAACCAAGTTGGATATGTATTTGAAGTTCTAATTACTCCTTAGTGTAATGGCAGAAAGTAATTTTTGAGGAAATCTGCTGATTTAGTGAATATTGAAGGACAAGGTTATATTCAGTCATGTATATTCTAAAATCATATGGTAAGAGGAAACAGTATGAAACATTTGCAAATGTAAAGGTTTTTACTTGGTCCAGGGAGAGTACTTGTTACAAAATGGCCTTGCTGTGAGTGATATTTGTAATTATCATTAAAATCTATAAGCCTTATTGAGAAACTGGATGAAGTAGGAGCACATCCAGTTATCTTAAATATGTATAGGCATCTTTTTTGATACTAAGTCTTGTGCGTCTGTTCAGACCAGATTTAAAGCTCAAGCCTTAGGTGTTGCCAGGGCAGTAAGGGGACAAATGCATTGAAAATGTTCCTCAAGCAGTATTTTGTTTATATGTAGGTTCTGGCTGATTATGATGAAATCTACTTTGATAACTACTTTGTCTTACAAAGAGTTTAAATCAACATCATCCAAGCAGTTTTACAATAGTGCCTAGACAAGTAGTAGAAACAGACAGAAATGTTCACAAGGGATAAACTCAAAAGAATATCGGTTATTTCCTCTATGATAAAGTGTTATTGTGCAAGTTTCTCTGAAGCTCTCCGAGTCTTTTGAGCTGAACAGATGATAGAGTTGTTAATCATGTAGGTTATTCATACATCCTCACTGGATGAGACTGATATATTCAGGATAAATATTTTAGTACCCATAATGTGGTTGTTTGTGACATCAGTGGCCTTGACTAGTCCAGTGTGTCACTGTCATTACATGGTTGTTGTTAATGTGATGATGATTGTGTCAGTTGTTGTTGATATTGTTTATTATTGTTGTGATTTATCATCAGCATTATCATTTTATTATCATTTCCCTTACTTCTCTTCCTCCTCTCTTTTGCTTTCTTTTCAAGTGGTTGGATGATAATATGTGTAATGGCTGTATTATGTTGCGATGGTAACTGATGGTTATGATATAATGATGATGATAATAATGCTGTTGACGCTATTCCTGCCAAATAGATTTCTGTTTATTAAGAGCGCCGCGACTGAGATACGTTGCTGTGTGCCGTTCCATCCATCCATTGGACTTGACAATAGTAATATTTGCTTACTCTTTAGTTACGTATGATTTGTATTGCAATATTTTCCTACTTGATGTTCACTTTTCCTTTTTGGTTTGTTGTTTATTTCCATTCTTTTGTCTTTCCCCTTTCTTTCTTTTCTTTTGATTTGTTTTGCCTGTGCATTATATATATATATATATATTTACTTTACTTTTATTTAATTTATTTATTTATTTATAATAATTATATCTGGTTAACATATCATATAATATATATATGAATATATATAATATAATGAATATTTATACTATATAATAAAATATATACTATATATATATATAAAAATCAATATTATATAAACATATAGTAATAATATATATATTATATAATAATATAATATATATATTCTAAACTATAAATTTAATATACATATATACATATATATAATAAAGTTACCTAATTATACATATATATATAGTCACTATATATCTATACTATATAATATGGTGTAATATATGTTAGAGGAGATAATAGACATGTATGACAATAGACCGGAGATATTCCACATATATAATGTACTACATAAATATAGGGTACCATACATATATATATGTAGGTCACATATATATATACTTATTACATATATTATACCTGTCTATACCATAACTATAATAGTTTAGGTAACTACGCAATAGGGTACTAGGGTATGCAATCTATATATATAATATCTATAACTATCACTATATATGAATATATTATACATAATATGTGTGTGTGTATGTATGCTGTATATATACTATAACTAATTAAATTAAAATATACTATCTCCTCTAAGAGAGGGTACTATAATATGGACATACACTATATTATACTAATATACTATATATAATAACCATATATATATATATACCCTATTACTATATACTATATATACTATAATATATATTAATATACTAATATATAATACGCACACCACTTACACATACATAGAATCAACACACTGTTTGCATATTTACTTTGTTCTCTATATCTTCTCTTGTTTATAATACCAAACATTTCCTTGCAGTTAGTGATAGTCTTTGTTTGTGATCCTTTGTTGATGTTATACTTCTGCTTTTATCTACATTTTATTTTTGGATAGATTTTGGTTTTCATTGGTTGTCACAAGGTTTTCTTACCCGCCTGCATTTGTTCACGAAAGAGTACCTTCCTCCTGTTAATCCAAGAGGTAATCTTTGTAATCGTTCTCAGCTTGAACTTACAGTGCAAACTTGATCTCATTCCTCCATACATTTAACGCTTACAGTCAAAGCTCGTGAAACTTTAGGTCGAGAAAGTATTGACAAGTCTACCCCTAAAAAAATTTAAATGTAGGATTTCACCCATTCACTAAAAAAAAATTTCACTGCATATATGAATCATTTACTCACTTATCTCTTTCTATTATAACAAATCATCACGTTTCCTTGATATATAACATTATTTACTAATTCTCTCTTATTGATAGTAAGGTTTGATCTTATATGATAGTAAGGTTTGATCCTACCTCACTGGTACTGCAATGAGTTTTTAAGCACAATTGTTGCAAAGAATATTAGTGCTTAGGACTCTATGGTTTGCAAAAAGGAGAGAGACCGCACATAGTCGTACAGATGCTTTCATGCGACGTCTCTTCAGTACGAATATCCAAACAATGTTTTTTTAAGTCATTCAGAGGTGAAGCATGATATCTTTCAGACGATTCAAACTTATTGTGTTACAAAAGAAAATCAGTTTATAGATAGGTTATGTGATGATAGGTTGTTCAGTTTTTCTGTTTACATTTTAAAAAAAAATAATCATTTTGTCTGACCCTGATAATTTCCCTTTGGAGATTATATTCTTTTAGCTAATTTATGTTGTAAAAGAGAGGCTTGTACACAAAAACACACGAAAATTTTAATGGAATTTCATTTATTCAAAGACAATAAACAGCACAACATGTAGCATATATGTGCATTGGTCATATATTTAGTATACTCATATATATATATAATATATAATATCATATATATATATATATTATGTTTTATATAATTATGTATATATATAATATAGAATATATATGTATTATTATATTCTATATGTATATGTATATATATGTATATGTATTATGTATATGTATATGTATATATATGTATGTATATATGTATATGTTATATATATGTATGTGTATATGTGATATATGGATATGATGTGTATATGATATAATGTTATGTAATATATAATATATATTATAATATATATATAATATAAGTAATATTATATATATATAATATATATAATATATATATATACATATCAGTCACACAACACACATACATGCATACATTACATATCTTACAAACATATATGTATATATACATACGTACATACATACATATATATATATATACACAGACATACATGGTAGTTTTCCAAAAATACAAGTTTTGACTGTATAACTTGGATCTCAAACAAAAAATAACTAGTAGATGGTGACACAGAAGAGAGAAAGTATTAGATATGTTTCTGTAACTCGGGTGTATGTGGATTTATGACCATAAGTGTATATGTAGGCACATTTGTGGAAACGTGTGCGTGTGCATGCGCATATGTGTGTGTGTGTGTGTATGATAAGGTATTGCATAAATGTAATGTATGTGTGTATATGTGGACAAACACAGACATATGCTTACATGCATTTGGGAGCCTTTACATGTCTGTGTGAAATTGAGTGAGAAAATTTTTTAGATTGACAGAAGAATGTGCCCCATCTTGAAGTCCATTCACGAGCCCCAATAGATTTTTTGTTTGTTTTTTATATATTTTAAGTATATTAAAATAATACAGACAGGTTACAGCTTACAGGTCACAATGAAGCTTGCTTTATATCAGAAGGTAGGCATTGATAATCCTCTGTGGTTGTTGTAACATTGTAAATGTTTATCATATAAAAGCTCAGGAAAAGCATCCATAAACTCAGACTGAGGCTGAGAAGGTCACACAGATGAGGCTCTCTCTCTCCTTCCCTCATTCCCCTCTCTCCTCATGCTCAGGCACTGGCAAGCATGCCAACGAGGGCCAGCTCCATAGCTGCGATTCCTTGTCTGGTGTTTAGTCTTGCTTTCATTCTTTTTTCTTTTCTTCCTTTTCTATGTTTTTTTTTTCCTTTCTTTTCTCTTATTATTGAGTAGTTTGGTTGACTTGCATGGGTTTCTTTGTTTGCATTTTGTAATGTGTTGGAATATTTTTTTTCTCTTTATAGGTGGTTTGGTTTTGGTTTCATCTTAATTTGATTGTTTGTTAAGTTTGAGGTTTGACTTAAATTGACCTTTTTTCTCTTTTTTTTCTGGTTTTGGTTCCGTATTTCTGTTTTATCTCCCAGTTTATTTTTGTTTTGGTCCATAGGATTTTACCAGTTTGCATTCCCTATCTAGTTGTAAAGCTATAGGTAGTTTTCTATGATAGCTCTTTTATACTGTATCTTACGTAAAGACCGAGTTTGCTGGAAGGTAGAATAGATATTCTGGTAATGAATAATAGCATTTGTGAGGGCATTTGCAGAGCTGTTTATATCATGACAACTTGGCAAAATATTCTTTGTTATATCTTATGCTGAATGTCTAATTTTTCGTATTGATCGTATGTTTACCAAGATGATGTAAATGAATAAGCAGGTTACGAGTGGATGTCAGTGTGCATGCTTGGGTGTAGGTGAGGGTGCATGTGTTTATGCACATATGTATGTGTGTCTTGTGTGTCTGCAGGAGAGAGAGAGGAAGATTGCATGTGTGTGTGTGTGTGTGTGTGTGTGTGTGTGTGTGTGTGTGTGTGTGTGTGTGTGTGTGTGTGTGTGTGTGTGTGTCTGTGTGTGTGTGTCTGTATGTGTGTGTGTGTCTGTATGTGTGTCTGTATGTGTGTGTTTGGTTGGTTGGTTGTTTGCACAGTATGGAAGAGGGGGTGTCACATTCTTTCTGCTATGGCATGGATTGTGGCACAGCTCAT